TAGATTAACTATGATTAACTTTCTATGCCTTTCTTGTTCTAGGCATTCTTTACTGTTAAAGAAAGGTAGAAGAGAATAGGTGGAAAGGAAGCCACCTTTTGTTGTTATTATTATTATTATTATTATTATTATTGTTATTATTATTATTATTATTATTATTATTATTATTATTATTATTATTATTATTATTATTATTATTATTATTATTATTATTATTGTTATTGTTATTGTTATTGTTGTTGTTATTATTATTATTATTATTATTATTATTATTATTATTATTGATATTTGTAGAGAGTTTATAATTATATAGGAAAAAAATTGAGATCTGGTGCAGCATTTTTTAAAGTGATAAAAATGATTAGTCTTTTAATAATAATTTTATATTCCTAGCAGGTGTCATTTCCTAGTATATGTGATTTTATAAAAATTTGTTTAAGGCTGACTGGATATCTATAGTCACTTGGCTAAAGTTGTAGCATTCTCTTCTTAATTGAGTGTTTATAACAAAGACAAGAGTTAGTATTGCATTTGTTGATATGGAAGACTGTCTCCTAATTTTGCAGACTTTTAAGGGGAAGCTGGTGATGGTTAAAATATCTGGCTATCAAAGGGTCTAGCAAAGAAAATGGTTTTCTGGAAAGCATGTGGTTTATTATATATAATTGTACCCAGATAAAGAGAAATTAATGAGATTTGTGTATGATTTTATAGAGACTCATCCCAGTTTTGTCTGTTACTTTGTGCTTTGATCAAGATATATTTTGCAGTTGATTTGTTTATATTAAATGTATCCATGAAAAAATTAAAACTACAGCTGTTATTGTACACTTAACAAAAAAAAGAACTGGTTTATTCAAGTTGTTTTGTTGGAGTTAGATATTAATACTAGGATTTAGACAAATAATATTTGAAAAGGACAAAATGATCACTGTTACTTAATATTTATTATGATAAAACTTAATCTCTTGATATGAATAGAAGTGTTTTTATTGCTTGTAATTATAATTTTATCTTTAGTAAGTTCTAGCATTCTCGCTTTTTTATGGATGAAATGGAGATACCTTGAGTGACTAAAGCGATTTTACCGTTTAGGTGATCTGATGCAATGGATCACACATGGTCAGATATCCAGCTTGGTTAAAAAAAAATAAAAACAAAATCACTTATGGTGTATACTTGATATTTGCGTTAACTGTTTGCCTATTTCTTGATGACAGTATTGATGGAGACGTTGAAAAGGTAGATCTAACAGAGTACCAAAATGCAGAAAGGAATAATAACCAGAAAATGATTGAACACATAATTGCTATTTAATGATTGGGGAATCTTGCTGCACCTTATTCATGTATGAAAATACTGTAGGCAAGTTTGATAAGTGTTTATCAGTGCTTATGATAAGATTTTACTGTGTAGTCTTGTGTTCAAGCTCTGTTGTATTATGCTTTGGTAAATAAGTTTGTACACATTGCAGAATATTTCTTTTTCTTTTGCCTAGCCAAAGACTAAATAGTAGGCAAATTAGAATTGGAATAACTGGTGTTTGGGGGGGGGGGGGTAACTGATGCGTAGGAGGTGTGAGAAATGGGTTACAAGTTGGAAAAGCTGAGGAACCACTTTGCTGTTATGCCATGGCTGGGTGATGCCTCATTATGTTATGAGTCTATGTCCCAATCACTCAGGTGTAGAGGAGCTTGTTCTTAAGTACTTTCCTCCTTTTGCTCTGATATTTACCCATTGCCTGGAGATAGATCATTCACATTCACATAAAGTTATATAAAAACCAGGAATGGATTTCCAACCTAGATAACTTTAAGAATGTGAATGATCTATCTCTAGGCAGTGGGTAAATATCAGAACAATAGGATGAAAGTACTTAAGAACGAGGTCCTCCACACCTGAGTGATTGGGACTGAGATGTATATTATGCCCTTACATAAAAACCAGGAATGGATTTCCAACCTAGATAAGGGTATGATATACATAATGGAGTAGAGAGAGAGTGAAGAAAAGAGAGGAAGAGAAAAAAGACATGTGAGAGAGAGATATGTTGGGAGAGAGGAAGAAAGGAGAGAGGGAAAAAGGGTAGAAAAGAGGGAGAGAGGGGGAAAGGGAAGAAGGGTAGAATGGAAGAAGGATATAAAGGATGGATGTAAGAAGGGAAGAAGAGAGAGAGAGGGATAGAAGGCTGGCAGGCAGGCAGGCATTTAAACAGGGAATGGGAAAGGAAGGGAGCAAGGGAGGTAGGGAGAAGAAGAAGAGAAGGAATGAAGAAGAGGAGAGGAGAGAAGTGAGGAGAGGTAAGGAGAAGAGAGTAAGAGCAAGAGCAAGACAGGGCGAGAGAAGGACATATTCTCAATAGTTGTGTTGATAATGGTACTCAATAACGAATGTGGAATCCAGCACAATCTGTCTTGTGTGTACAACTTCACTGATAAGAAAAACAGTTGCAAGACAGTTCGTCCTCTTTCAAAATATGAGAGTAAAAGATGTTAGCTTATGTCATGAGGATGGAAAGTTAAAATTGAGATAGCTTCTCAGAAATTACTGTAATCTGGCTCAAACTTATGAATGTTCAAAAGCAGAAGAATATATATATGAAGAATTGGACAACTTGATGAAATCTCGTCCAAAGGGGAAGACAGGATATAGTCATAGATAACCTATCAAGGATATTACTTTTGTATTATTTGGGAAGCATTTCCATTACACACTCCCTGTTATAAGCATTAAGTGAGTTTCTGATTCTCTCCATATTCATGTGCAGTTATATATAGTAGTGGAAAAGAATAGTTAAAAAGTGTTTTATTGATTGTGAAGGGAAATTTTCTGCATTGAGAACAATGGTTACAGTATGTAGCATTCACAAAAAATGCATGAATCTCATAACTCTACAGTATGTCAGTGCATGATGTACAAAAATGCTCAAAAATCATAAAAAAAGGAGAATGTAACAGCAGTTTTGAAATTTTGAAATTCCAGGGTCATATGTTCCGATACAATGATCTTATCAGATAATGGTACTATCTGTGGATGTTGTTGTGCCACCAAGATGTCCAAGAGTACTTGGGATTTTTGGAGGATGAGTTGATAAAGGTATTTTTTTGATATGCCAGAAACATAGTTTGGAATGTGCCTTGTAACTAATCAACTAACATTCGTCTCAAGTATATGGTTGCAAAAGGAACAAAAAAAAACAAAAAAATGCCATGCTTAACATATACATTTTGCAATATTTTCCTTATACTAATTCCATTAAGATTTCAAAGTGGTTTAATACGAATCACACCAAGACAGTAATGGTTGATGACCTTAGATGTAAAAAGGAGAATGTAACAGGCAGTTTTGAAATTTTGAAATTCCAGGGTCATATGTTCCGATACAATGAGCTTATCAGATAATGGTACTATCTGTGGATGTTGTTGTGCCACCAAGATGTCCAAGAGTACTTGGGATTTTTGGAGGATGAGTTGATAAAGGTATTTTTTTGATAGCCAGAAACATAGTTTGGAATGTGCCTTTTAACTAATCAACTAACATCGTCTCAAGTATATGGTTGCAAAAGGAACAAAAAAAAACAAAAAAATGCATGCTTACATATACATTTTGCAAATTTTCCTTATACTAATTCCATTTAAGATTTCAAAGTGGTTTTAATACGATCACACCAAAGACAAGTACTGGTTGATGACCTTAGATGTATTTTTTTCTGTGAGCAATATCTGGAAAGCACCAGATTTAGTCATGTTTCTTAGAGTTGCAGGATTTTAAGCTGGTTCGAAAGTTATCAGTTATTAGGATGTTATAGTTTATAGTTAATAGATATAGTTTAATACTTTTACAGTTTTTTTTTTTTTTTTTTAATTCTCTATGTTGATAATGATATTGGAAATCATAATACAGAGTGATGCCGTTGATGATAATGAGAGTGAGATTGTCATATCAGTGTTGTTTATGAGAGTAAAAGCTCTAAATATAGCAGTTAAATATAGCAGAGTTGAATAAGAAGTTTATAAACCATTTTCATACATTGCAATGTTGATAGAATGAGAATTAAATATAGGTATACTAGTAAGTACAAAACTGACCCAGAAAGTTATTGTGTATAGAGATTAATAACAGTAATGATTAGTTTCAAGATTGTGAGTGGTAATGAAGGTTATCAGTAATGATAAGGATAAGCAACAGAAGGAAATATAAAGCAGAATCAAGTAACACTTTTTTTTGGTTTGTGGTAAAGATACTATATTATGTATTTTGAATTGTTCTTAACTGGATGATGAGTTATGATTTGTTAATAATTATAGTGTTCTGAAGAAAATACTAATATAATTTTCTGAATAGAGACTGAGTTATAGATTGCAAAAAATTAAGTAAATGTACAAGACGTTGGATTATATTTATTAGAGTACCACCATCTTCATCATCATCATCATCAGTCATTATTATCATTGTCAATAATTTTCATTACCTTTTCTTACTTCTCTTCTTCCTCCTCCTTTTGAATTCCTGCTGAACCGTATATATTTCATGAGAAAAAAATTATTTATAGTAATTTTATTGTTATAGTTTTCATTATCACATTGTTAACATTAATCTTTATCTGTTGTAACTATAATCATCACTTTTCCTCTTTGTCTTCTTATCCTTCCTCCTCTTCTTATATTTATTATTTTTTTCTGATAATGTAGATGTAGATATCTATGACATGTTCATAACAGAGAAAATTGGGTTTTATGACTTGTACTGATAGCAGAGCAGTAATAACTGTTAACTGTTAATAGGAGACAAGAAGCTTAGAGATTGTGATAAGGATGTACTCTTTATATGATTAATGTGGGGGGAGGAATGTGAAGATAATGAGTTACATTTAGATTAGTATACATTAGTGAATGTTTTTTTTTTTTTTTTTTTTTTTTTTTATTTTTTTTTCATGGAATATTGTTAAGATGAATTGTAGTCTTTGGTGTACTTCAGATTTCCAGTAAGAATCATAAATCATGTAAAAAAAAAAAAAAAAAAAAAAAAGATATGCCACAGATAAAGAGATAGTAGAAAAAACGCAAGAAATGAAATATTAAACTATTGATGTCAGGATGGTATACATGCTTACCCTGTCTACTATGAGTTTAGTTTATCACTTTTGTTTGCACAAGTACTTAGTCACCAAGGAGACAATCAGTAGGCCTATCAGAGTTCACCTGTTTACCCTGCTCCTTGAATTTTAGAAAAAAAGAAAAAAAGTCGTATAATTTTTAATATTAATATTGTTCATAATCTTATACTGGTAAAGCAACAGTAGTAATAATGTTAATAACAGTAATAATTGCATTTGAAAAAAAAAATATTCATTAAAATTAAAGCCATTGAGTAAACAAGTGAGGATGGGTAGGTCTGGTAATAAGCCCCATGGGGATTAAGTACTTGTCATATATACGTAAAAAGAATTGACAGTGGCTGGTGTATGTACCCAGTGCCAGTTGGTCTAAACTATATGACTGATGAAAAAGGTTTGCTCTTGTTGAAGGAAAACATTTAGTGATAGAAGTGGAATGCTAAAAGAAGAGGAAGGTGTTTAGGTTTGAATGATAACATGGTTACACTTAGGTGATATATGATGCCAGTAGATTATTAAGCTGTAAAGTCGGATGAGAGCAAACATAGTTCCGAATCTTTCATTATGGTATGGCATGTTTATGTGGACTCGTGGAGCATTTTAGAATCCGCCTTATTAATACTGGAGTCTAATGATGATTTGTATGCTTTATTAACTCCGCATGATCTTATCTTTCCATATCTTAGTATTATCTCCGTCTTTGGCTCAAGGATGCATGACCTGGTCAGATGATTTGATAAGACTATTAAATCTGGGCTTGTTCAGTAACAGATAATTATAGCATGCTGATCTATCTCCACCGTTTTCTCTCATTAGAGATGTTTGTCTTGTGTTGAGAGTGAGAACTTAGTTTCAAGGCATTTCTGCAGGTGTTTTTTCAGGACTTTGAGTATTTGCACAGCTATCTAAGGCTTACAGGTATTGATATTCACACCTTTCACATTATGCTTTAACAGCAAATACTTCACTTAAGATAAATTTGTCTTACGCCTTCATATAAAAAATAGCTCTTTCTGTTTCAGTAATTTGAAGTGTAAAAACTCTTTTAATGTAAAAGTGATGGTGTTTAAAAAAAAAAATCTTTTGAAAGTAATTGGATTTTTTTTTTTTTTTTTTTTACAGTGTTTCTTCTCTATATTATGTGTATCAGGAGTGATTTCTAAAATAATGTGTTTATTTGATACTTGGGTTTCTTTTCAGATGACAGTTGTGTAAGGTAACAGTCCCATACTCAGGCCATACACATTCCAAAATGACTGCAATAACGATAGTAGACCGTCTGACCAGGAGGAAATTTGTAACTTTTGATGATACTTCACTCCCTCGTGTTCTGAATACTGTTGACCTCACAGCTCTTGGTATTGGCTCTACTGTAGGTGTTGGGTTTTATGTGTTAGCTGGTGAAGTGGCAAAGACCACGGCTGGACCTGCAGTTACCATCTCATTCCTCATTGCTGCAATCGCATCAGTGTTTGCAGGTGAGTTCATTTGGTGCATATGTCTTCTTGGGTTTCAGGTTGTGTGTGAGGGCTTTGGTGTAAAGTTTTTATTTGTGGTTTGGAGTAGTGATTCAAGTAATTATTATTGGTATTTTCTGGCTGATATATGCTCAAAGAAAAATTATCTGTACCATTTTAATTTTTATTATTTTTTAGTACAACTTTTTTTTATTAATTTTTCATTGTATGTAGGAAATCAGATAACTAAGTTGAAGGTAGCTTCATTGAAAAAAAAGGAGTTAATTACATTCTTATGAGTTTTCTTTAGCATTATCCTTTTCCTTCCATAGGGCTTTGTTATGCAGAGTTTGGTGCCCGCGTACCAAAGGCAGGGTCAGCCTACATCTACAGCTATGTATGCGTTGGCGAGTTTGTCGCATTTGTCATCGGATGGAACTTGATTTTAGAATATGTGATTGGTAAGGATCAAATGTATAGAGTTTGTAATAGGTATAGCATGTATATAGGCTTCTTTTGGTATACACATGTAGATTTCTACCTATGTTCTAAAGTGTTAGGCTAAACCATCTTGATATTACAGGCACAGCGAGTGTTGCCAGAGGGTATAGTGGCTATGTTGATAAGCTCGCAAATAACTCCATGTCGGAGGCGTTGGGGGAGGCAATGCCCATTTCGGTTGGCTTTCTCTCGGATTATCCAGACTTCTTGGCCTTTGGGCTCTCCTTTATATTGTCAGGTAAGTTTCTTTAGAAGTTTTATAATGTTTTCCATCAGGCAGGAAGTAAGATCTTTTCCTAAAGACAAAAATATATTGTACTTAGACTGTGTATAATACCTTACATTTCTGCCATTGCTACTAGCTGATGTAATTTGTGGTCTTATTTTTTTTATAGTTGTATTAGCAGTGGGAGTTAAAGAATCATCAATGATGAACAACGTCTTCACATTTATTAATTTGGTGGTAATTACCTATGTCATCATTGCAGCAGGAACACAAGGTAACTTTTTTTTTGGTTGCATAGTTAGCATAATTAGTTTTGGGTGGATATTTGCACTGTTATATATATATATTTTTTCATGAATTGTTGTAGTATCTTTTGTTTATCATGTTAATATGGCAATGAATAGTATTTTTAATTTTTCATTTAGGAACAATGATCATTATTATTATTAATATTTGCAAGTAATGCAAGGAAACTCTGTAAAGACAGCGTTCATTCCCTTCCCTGATGATTTACCAAAGCATTCTCTTCCCAATGTCCCCATAGCCAAAGCGGAGAACTGGGCAATACCAGAAGCAGAGGTAGAGGCAACGTGCACAAATCCTAACACAACATGCATAGTTGTTGAGAAGGACAATAGTACAGACTATGGAACAGGGGGCTTTGCTCCATATGGCTTTTCGGGCATCATGCAAGGAGCAGCAACCTGCTTCTTTGGCTTTGTGGGTTTTGACTGTATTGCCACAACAGGTGAGTTGAGAATGCAACTTGTAGTGTTAGAGTGGTTGGGTTGATTCATGAAAGACATTAAAGACACTTAGAATGTTAGTATGAAAAGT